CTGTTAATATATTTGTCTATATTAAACATCAATCAACATCATCATTACAGTCCTTTATATTCTTTCTGCTAAATAATGGTATGTCTTACCAGGTCGTCACTCCATCTAGGCAGTGAAGTAGTTATCGGTAGTAGGTTGTGCCACTCGAAAATATTTTACTACTGTACAAATACCACTTCAATATACCGACAGCCAATCTGACACCGCTGAAGGTATATGCCATCGCCCAAATTTCTCATAGTTCCTAATTCCTATACGTTAGACAGTGGCAGATTGTTCACTTCGGTCTTCTGTACAATTTCCTGAAGGGTATGTACATAGGCAGGATATGTACAATCAGGACCTGTATAAATGAACTCATTAAGGCATTGTGGCGTCTAAAAGAATTGGTAAACCAGACTTGTCTGACCGATTGCAAAAAAGTAGTTATTAATTAAGCTAAGTGTACTGTTACTCCTTTTAATTATGGGCGTGCCCCAATGATAATATTGGGACCATTACTCTTTTAATGTACAGGGTTATTTTTCAAAGAGTATTCAAATTTTAAACTTAAGTTCAAATATATAAACAATGATAGACGTTTTTACAGTTTTTGAAAATAGTAGTAAATAAGGCTTCTACTTTTGATTGTTGTTTGTGATATTTGTGATTTATGGGCAACAACGTTTTTGCCTACCGATCGACCCTTACGAATGCGTGCGTGCGCAATGAAATCAGTTAAAATAATGCATTACTTCGCATTTTGAATTTAAAAGATAAAAAGGCAGAATGTTCGAGATTTTTTTAATTAATATTTCTTCACCATTAGAGGCACTATTACTTATTCTGAACCTCTTCTACAAATTTGGCCGGTTATTGCCAAATAACCCTGTAGATAGATATAGGGGCGCTCCGTCCGTTAGCGCAAATCGCATTGGAATAGAAATAACTGCTTTTAAAATACAGATATGGCATCTGTGTATTTTTTAATAACAATACTCTGAGTGCAAAAAATTTAAATAAAATGCTGTAGATGATAAAATTTGATAAATATATTTTATAAATTTTATAGATATATTAATTTGGAATTATTAAATTATTATATATATAAATTATTATTATTAAATTGAGAGATTGAGATAAATAAATAAACGTTTATGTTCAATTATATACTGCATATAAATAAGTCCAAGTATAGAAACTAAGCCTATCCTTAAATGAAAGCTTATAATATCGTTCATGTCCATATTCTCATCACTTGCAAAAATATTCCGCTGTTCATTCATATCCAATTCATTAGGTACCTTCTTGTCCTTCCACTTTTACAACGGATGGCAAAGAACCAGATTGGAAGTCAATGAAACACTAAGACCCATATCCTGCCGTGGGTATCGTAAGAGGCGGCAAAGGGAAGTTGAAGCAGGTGATGGACAGCAGAATCTTCTTGATAACAACTAAAAATAATAAAATACTACGGTTGACAACCCGCTGATCAGCCGCTCGTAAAATATCCAGACTGGTTTCGATGAACAGCGTCAAATGTGGGAGACTTTTAGTACTGCAAATGTCAATACGAATGTCAAACGTGATGAATGAGACAAATTCTTCCTTCAACGGGAGAGTCTCATGTCAAGCAGTAGGCTTAGAGGCTGATTATGAAAAAGGAGTTGAAGAAACTGCATTACTAGGCTGCACTAAAAGTATCGGAAATGGAATATTTCCATTGTTCCTGTCATATTAAAATCTTTTTAATTGAAAACTCCTTGGTTTTAAAAATCGAATACCATTTATTTATTTTAAAAAAGATTCTCGGTCTTGTCACAAGGTTTTGTCAAACTTGTTTAGTCGTTGAGAAAATGGAATTGACTCGAGAAAATTCAAGAGCGATGATTTATTATGACTTTCGAAGTTGTTTAACACAAAAACAGTGTGTTGACCGGATGATTTCTGCATTTGGTGATGAAGCCCCATCCAAAACCACAATTTATCGCTGGTTTGCTGAATTTCAACGTGGACGTGTCAAGCTCAGTGTTGATCCCCGTCAAGGTCGTCCAAAAACTGCAGTCACCCAAGAAAACGTTGATGCTGTGCGTAAGCTGATTGAGGAAGATCGACATGTGACATACCGCGAAATTCAGGCAACTTTAGACATTGGCATGAGTCAAATACAAATAATCTTGCATGAACAATTAGGTGTAAAAAAGTTGTTTTCCCGATGGATACCGCATTCGCTCTGTGAAGAGCAAAAAGCGGCTCGCGTTACTTGATTTTCATTCAAATAACCAGTTCAGTTTTTTCTATTATGTCAATAAGATCAAAAAATATTATTCATGTAATTTGTATCTAAATGTAACTTAAAAAAATCCGGGTACTTATTTTGAAGCATATATTTTGTCTGACGGTAAAATATTTGATTCAATAAGCTGACGATTAAAATTAGATTAAGATTACTGTTGATTTTTTATTGTTCGTTCATTTTTTTATATGAAAGTTTTAGTTTGCTAGTTATATTACTGATTTATTGCCAAAATTGATTCTATTGCATTTGCATTTAAATTAGTTAAACATAAGAATATACATTATGTCTAATAAAGCATGTTTTCATTACCATCCCTCGGTAATATTACCTTATTCCATTACATTCCATAGCATCATTACATTCCGTTGTTTTTCTGTTATGTTTTTGAAAATTATTCAATATTACCTTTTCCCTTATGCAGATATTTTTATTATAGCCATTTTAACTAAATATAAAAAAATCCAAAAATAATAAAAATAAAATTCCTGCAGAACTGTCCGATTTACGCAAACAGACGGAATGACCTATACATGATCGATCTTCCTTCTACACTAATACAAACGTATACACGTATAATATGAGACAGTATAGTTTGCTGTATATCTCTCTAGTGTTTAAAATTGATAGAGGTAAAAGATCGTTTGACGGTGTAAACCATAGAATACTATAATACATACCTAATAGAACGGGGGAGTGGACGGAGCTCGTGTAGCCACTAACATGTCAATTCACACCTATAAATGTCAACACAATCAAACGTTTTCAATTTTCGTGTCAAGCGTAGCTGCGAACAAATTATTTAAAAAATGGCAAATTTCGCAATAATTACGTGTCAAAACAACAGCGGGAAATGGAATTTAAATAAAGGAGACATATCCTACAACCAGTAAGTCGAAACAATTTATATTTTGTAAATATTAGAAAAAAAAATAAAGAAATATTGATGTGTCAAAAACATTAAGTCTGTCAATACAGCGAATCGCGTTTGTAGTAGTGATAATACGACGTAATTGCTTGTATGTGTGCTCCCGGCGACACCAATCCTTGTACAAAATAAGGTTGACAGCCATTCTATTGTGAATTATAGTATTCTATGATGTAAAAGGTTCTGTATCTCTATTGTTACACTTTTATACGTAGTAGAGCCATGCTGCATTTATATTATTTTATATTCGTAGTATAGTTGTAGTACGAATGGGTCGGCTCGACCGGGGATGGACCACGCTCTCACAGAATACCAGCGTAAAATAGTAGCTTAATGCTGCTGAATTTCGTATGGGGAGTGTAGAGAACCGGAGATCCTCTTTACTGGAAACGAGGCATTCCATCTTAGTCCTCACGGGTGACAACGCATCCATTTTTGATTTCGTATTCGAGGATAGATGTAGATGTCTATGGGCCACAGCAAACACTTACCATCAGGTAGACTGTGTGCTCGTTTATTACCCTATCCCAAAACCGTATCCTATAAAAAAAAACCTGGTTGAAAACTAACAACTTGCTTCTGAATGCTAATAAAACGAAATGCATTAAATTTTCTTTGCCAAATAAGTAAGGCTGGTTACAACTCATATAAAGTTGAACGATAAAATAACTGAGTTAGTATTAGTAGATTCTATAGTCCTTCTTGGTATTACTATTGACTCTCGCTATCGCCTATAGCAGGAACCTCATATTGAGATTTAACAGACAAAAATTTTATCTGTGTAATAGTAAATTTTAGCGTATTAGAACCCGCGAGCATAATATAGCTGTGTAGTGGACACAGCTATGTTATGCTCGCGGGTCGATGAGTGGGTCAGCTCAACCGTAGAAGAGCTACACTCACACTACCCGCGTAAACTTTATGTGTAGGACGTGTATATAATTAAAGAGTTTGTTCAATACTGCTGTGTTTCGTATAGCGGGTATAGAGATCCGGAGAACCGTTTTACTATTAAAAAGGGATTCCATTTTTAGTATTCAAAGGTGACAACGCATTTACGTTTTCATTCAAGGATAGATGTGTCTATGGACCATAATATCCACTTTCCATCAGATGGATTGTTGTGGGTGTTTGTTACTCAAAAAACAAAACTACTCCTATGTAAGGAATAAAGGGGAAAAATAAAGGATGAAATTTTTTATGTGTAATGAACTTTATAGACTACGTTCTAGTTGACATCTTTAGCTCAAGTTATTGTTTAGTTCACTAAAAGTAAACCAGCCGTCAAAAATCTAAAAAGACTTAAATAATATCCCCAATTTAATAGCTATTGAAATCGGAGCTTTAATCCGTCGATATTTTAGTCTTATAATTTAGCCCTTTTAGATTTTTGACTTCGGTTTGTACAAGAATTTTAATTTTTTTTAAAGGTCTAATTAAAGCTAACGTTGCCGTCCAATCTATTCGTGATTGCGTTCATGTAATATGTATGCATAACGCCATATGCTTAATGTATGTGTACTGTTTGGGGCGTAAAGGGGAATATGCCAAATTTTCTTTAAACGCCAAACCTAACCTGCACTTTGTGAACACTGCTGATCGATAGATAAGTCACTGACTACAGATTAATGTCTCCGTGCTGAGATGGGGCAGCACTACTCGAGCCCAGCGTGTTGATCGCCTGTTGTTGTTTTTGTGCATGTGCAATTGCTTTCCTGATGAATAGGCCCCTGGTGTAAACAGCTATAATCCAGATCAGACTGGCAGTATAACGCATGTGTATTAATTTTTGTTCAGGCTCCATCATGTTCCACGTGCGGCGGCGGCCGGCGGACGCGCAGCCGCGGCGCCGGAAGAAGAAGGTCGGTGGTGGCGGCGGGTCGCGCCCCGGCACCGAGCCTATGCTCCTGGAGGTCGCGCCCGACGGCACCGCGCTTGAGAACGGCCGCCGCATGCGCCTTACCGAAGTGCTCGAGGTGAGAGAGAGAGAGCGAAAGAGAGAGAGAGAGAGAGAGAGAGAGCGAGAGGCTTTATCACTAGTACATGTTTACCACAGTGATTTTACTAATATTTCCGATATTTTCATACGTGGTAGATCCATGCTGGAATTATTTTATGGTTTTAGCACGCATGGCTCGGTTCGACCGGGGAATTACGCTCTAACAGAATACCAGCGGAACCGAAGACGAGTACTAGACGAGACCAGTAAACGAGAGCCTGAGACCGTTTATACTGGATATGAGGCATTCTATCTTAGTAGTCCTCAGGGGTGATAACGCATATGCATTTTGATTTTTAATCGAAGATAAATGTTTAGGCCACAGCATACACTTACCATCAGGTAGACTGCGTCCTCGTTTATCACTCTGATTCTATTAAAAATATTTTAGCATTGTAAAGGATGTGCATAATGGTTTTAGTTTTTGTTTTGCCCATTTAGTGTAAGAATCGTTGTTTTGTCGATCGAGACTTACCAGGCCATATTTTAATTTAACGAGCTTGAGAAATGTACCAAGTGCGAATTTAATCAAGCATTGGGATCGCAAGTTTGATGAAACGGAAACATAATGCCCATTAAATCAACTTGGCGCAAAAGGACATCAAGACGATCAATAATTTCGAGCGTTCGCCAGTCCGTTATGGACGATCCATGACAATCACTGCATAGATTGTGCACAGCTTTCTTAAATTGCAACAAATCTACGGTTTATGGCGTTATTCGGAAAAAAATTGTATTTCATTGTACAATAGATAAACCCTAGATTTACTAGCAACAAAGGCTCGTAATTCTGGCGGTACGAAAGATGACATTGAAAGAAAAAAGGCAGTCTTTAGACATCTAAATAAGAGAGTAAAAGAAGTAGTTGAAAGGAAAAAGCAAGAACTAACGGATAATAATGATAGAATAATATCGGATAACTTCCAGGCAAATATTAAAATGTTCTGGAAACTCGTAAGAATTGCCATGGGACATAACTCCCAAATTAAGAAAGGTGAAAGTGTTGAGTGAGGAGACGAGTATGAGAAATGAAATATTCCGAAAGAAGAGGAAAGATGTGGAGATAAGTATAGATGAAATAGTGCAAGCAATGAAAAGCATGAAAGCAGGTAAGGCAGTCGGATATGATAGAGTTTCACTCGAAATGCTAAGGGCTGGAGAGGAAGTGTTGGCAGGCAGGTTGTGCTGGGTACTGAAGCGGGTACCGCTTTACTGGTGCAAAGCCGTGATAGTCCCAATATATAAAGGAAAAGGGTCGTAGCAGGACTGTAAAAACTACCGTGATATCAGCCTTCTTAGCATTGTGGGAAAATTGTATGGTAAGGTACTAATTGGAAGGGTCATGAAAAAAACTGATGGAAAAATTTGAGATGTGCAAGCGGGACTTATAAAGGGAATGGGGTATACAGATCAAGTCTTTTCCATGCGCATGATCGCGGAGAAGTTTTTGGCCAAAATCCAAAAGATTTTTTGTGCGTTCATAGACTTGGAAAAGGCCTATGACAGAGTGAACAGCGATGTGCTATGGCAAAAACTGAACTCATTTGGGTTGAGTGCTGGTTTGATAGAGGCTTAGTCTCTTTATAGGGACTCTAGTGCTTGTGTTAGGATCAACGGGGTCTCCTCGGACTGGGATGGCATCCATAAAGATGTCAGACAGGGCTATGTGGCTTCCCCGTGGCTTCAACTTATTTATGGACAGTTGTCTGGAAAATTTGAAAGTTGAAGAATGCAGATTAAGAATGGGTGAGTTAACCGTCAAATGCCTTTTGTACGCCGATGATAAAGTTATTCTTGCGTCGTCGGCGGCCGAGTTGCAAATGATGGTTACATTAATGAACAGATCATTAAAAGAAAGGTATATGAAAGTGGACGCAAGTAAGACGAAAGTTATGGTTTTTGAAAGAGAAGAAAGTAAAACGATATGTGAAATAAGAATAGAAGGGGAGTTCGGAAGTAGAAGTTTGTATATATGGAATGCGTTTAGCAGGGATAGGAGATTCATAAGGATATAGAACGACGAGTGAACGCAGGAAATAGATTAAATGGGGCCCTGCACTCTATTGTGAAGAATCAGAATGTGTCAAAAAAAACGGATGGCAATTCAAAATGCTCTGTTGGTCCCTATTTTAACGTATGGTAGTAAAAGCTGGGTGTGGCAGAAGAAGCACGAGAGTAGAATATACGCAGTAGAAATGCGGTCGCTAAGGAGTGTTTTAGGGCTGAATCTAAATGACAGGTTGAGAAATTGTGTGATAAGAGAAGAGTGTGGTTTACAAGATTATGTGGTGACCAGGATTAAGAAATGAATGCTTCGGTGGTTTGGTCATGAGGAAAGAATGATTGTGGAAAGAGCGACAAAGAAAATTTATGTTGCAGAAGTGAACGTCAGAGTCGGAAAGGGACGTCCTAGGCCAAAGTGTATCGATAAACCCCCTGTTGCCGCTAAAAGAGTCGAATTCTGCAGTATACTGAAAACTCGTTTTAGGAGTTTCAATGAGAGAGTCATATGTCTTACGAATTCAATTATTACTATTGGGCTTCTCATAATCCGCTGGAACTGCATCAGACCCCATTATATTCGCCTAAGGTTGAGGTTGCGCACAGACCGTTAATACAGAATCCCCAATAAAAAATCATATAAGCTTCAATCTCAGCACATTTTTCCAGCGAGATAGAGGCATGTCCAACGCCCCAAACGACTTTTTGGCTGCTCTATAAGTTGTCAAGGAGATAACAGTTGGCTGTCGTAGAGTAGAGTCCAGGTTTAATATCTGCCGATTTTTCACTTAAAAAGTAAAGTTTTCAACGCATTACAAACCAACCTAAATATTTAAAGCAAAGGATTACAGATGAAGTCAACGCTGAAGGAGGCCCCAGCGTATAACTGTGAATTCAGGACAAATGAGCAAGAAAAAGAAAATGGTGCGCATTTACAAATAATTTTTTGTTACTATAAATTCAGAAACGGTTCTTTAATTGAATCGATAGTTAATTACTACGAAAAAAGTTTGTTTTCGCTTTCGATTATAGTCCTTATGACAGAATCGCTGGAGGACCTAAGCACTTTTCTCAATGATCGCAATAGTACCTCCCAACGGGATAGGTGTTGAGATAAACATAGATACAACAAAAATCATCTGTAACGTCCATGTCACGCCTATGAGTGTAGTTGTTGGGAGCACTAAGTTCGAAGTTAATGACGAGTATGTTTACCTGAGCCAAATGGTCCGACTAAGTAAGTCCAACTACGACCGAGAGGTCAATCTTGTACCGGTAGGCGATGTGTGGGGCGGCCCCCTTCTTGATGGAGTGTCAACCTGGTAAGACATGCAGGAAGTCGATGGATGCAGGTGGCTTAGTACCGTGCCTTGTGGCATTCTTTGAGGGAGTCCTAGGTTCCGCAGTGGACTTGTGAATTTTGCTTGCTGAATTATTATTTGAAAAACGCCATAGTGACAGCTAGTAATATATCATCATCATCATCATCATCATCCTCATTACAGTTTTTGGTAGTGTGCAGTTAGTACACATTATTTGAAGGTCTCGTGGCGCAGTGGCTTAACAATGAGTTGCAGCGCTAAGCGGCCGTGGGTTCGAATCTCGCGTGGAATAAGTACGATAAACCGGAATTTTAATTTTAATTTTATTAATAAGTTTTATGGCCTACAGAGAATTGTTCCGAGTCTGATTGTTAGTCCTTGTGTAATTTATATATGTAAACTGTTCATACGATAAAATCCTAGTGTGGATGTAACGTTTCTATAAAACAAAAAAGAAACGTATCATTAGGGAGACTGTGAGTTTTTGTGACTATTGTTTTCCACCACAAAATTGTCATCGTTATAATCATAAAATGGTAACAACTGACAATAGCGTTCTATGTTTTGTGGTACGGTGGGGTTTTAGTTTTAGCTTAGCCAATGTGTACTCATTTCTCAACTCTTCATTTACAAATCAAATTTTTTTTTTTTAGTTCTACAAGAATTGGCCCAACAGAAGCAAATAATACTTTTTTTTGATAAAGGTAAGGCACCTTTATCTTTAAATAATGCAAGACGAGCAATTTGACACGTTTACCAAAAATGTACCGCGTTTTCGTTTCAAAGCGTTAAAATCGCGCTTATCTAACTTCGTTTTTATCCATTATCTAACCAATATTTTCATAAACAAAGTGCCTAAAACAATAAATACAAAACGTATTACCTTATAATATGTATTTATTCATTGAATTAGCCGAGGTAATACGATCGAGCAAAAGCTTTCAACTCGGGGATCGCGGATATTTCATTTCTGAGTTGGTACTAGACGGGCTTACAAGATCCGTTTCATGCAATTATAGCTAGGGGAGACTACACTTCAGTTCAGGGTCAAATTTTCTTACTTTTATATCGTTTTAGTTTCCCATTATCTCCTTTTATTCCACACCAAAAATAATTTTAGTAATATAATATTACGTAGAAACTACACAGCAATTTTCTTGTGAAAAGTAAAAGTAAGGATTTATTATTTTGGAGGGAAACACATGGCATGGATTTTATTAAAGAAAAAAAAACTTGCGTCCTGTTTTTTGTTCAAATAGACATACATTAATTAACAAGGTATGTTCCAACTTCATCTACTTCTTATTTATTTATTTATATCATGCACGCTCTGAAGCCGCTGGGCCTTGCCAGTAAGACCTGTTCAGCGAACGTACTGTTTCAATCATCCTATAGTCATAGATCATGGTGGGGCCAATGACCAGAAATGTTTTCGGCGATTGAGGTCTCGGGTTCAATTCCCGGGTCGAGCCTTGACCTTATTATGCAAGATGTATGTGGACTGTATGTGCGGATTCTTACAACCAAAACAAGATGGCCGACGTGGCGCGCGGCAGCCTTGGACGATGCACTCGATATTCCGAAATCTACTGTTTTGCCAGTGTCTCGAAGGAGTTTCCACTTGAACCGCTAACGGAGAGAAATGCGACAAGGAAATAAAACGGTTCAAGACAAATTAAAAGGAAGCACTTATCGGGGTGGGGTTCCTTGCGGCCTCGTGGACGACGCTCCTGGTCTTGTGGTGCGTTAGAAGAGCGGTGCGCGACGATACCTCGCACTATGCGAGGCAGAGCCAGTAATGTTTTTTCCGCGCAACCAGATCATATTACAGTAGAAGTCCGGTAATCCGGCACGTTCGGGACCGGCTCGGTGCCGGACTACCGAAAATTCTGGTTTATCGGGCGGTAATTCTAAGAAAAATTAGGTTAATAATTAAACTACAAATACAGTATGCAAATATGTATGTATGTACATACAACAAAGTTTATTTTACATTTCATATACATAATGTATGTACACGTACTGTAAAACATATTTCACTTACGAGGGTGGATTGAAAAGTACTCGGCCTAACCAAGAAAATAAACACATACTAAATCAGTTATATTTTTATTTTTCTACATAATCACCATCAAGTTCAATACACTTTTACCACCTCCCCTTCCAAGCATTTGACCGTTGAAAAAAAATTATTCTTCTTTAGAGTCAAAATATGCGCGTACAGCTGCTTTGACCTCGTCGTTTGTCGAAAATCTTTGACCTCCCAAGTGCTTTTTTAGGTTAGGGAACAGAAAGAAGTCTGATGGTGCCAGATCAGGTGAATACGGCCGATGCGGTAACAGTTCAAAGCCACAGTTGTGAATTTCAGCCATTGACTGTACTGACGTGTAAACACGGGCGTTATCTTGATGAAACAGGACTTTTCTTCTGAGCATTCCTCGACGTTTTTCTTTTATTTCCTCTCTTAAACGACGTAGTAAGGTGCAGTAGTAATCAGAGTTTATAGTCTGACCCCTTTCAAGATAATCAATCATAATCACACCTTTCGAGTCCCAGAATACTGAAGCCATCACCTTATTTGCCGACAAAATCGACTTAGCCTTTTTAGGGGTGGTGAACCAGGTCTTCTCCACTGTTTTGATTGTTGTTTTGTTTCCGGTATACAGTAATGAACCCATGTTTCGTCCATAGTAACAAAACGATTCAAAAAATCATCTGAATCGGCTTCAAATGACTCCAAACAGTCGCGTGAAATAGTCAATCGCGTCCCTTTTTGTTCAACTGAAAGCAGTCGCAGAACCCACCTTGCAGACACCTTGTGGAAACCCAACTCGTTGACAATGATGTTTTGAGTTCGTTCATATAAGATGCCTATAATCTCAGCTATCTCTCTAATTTTTAATCTGCGGTCTCCCATTATTAAATCAAGTACTTTTTTTAATATTTTCGTCAGTAGTTGACGTCGAAGGCCTTCAGAGCGGGGTTCATCTTTCACACTCTCTCTACCACGCTTAAATTCTGCTATCCATTTTTTGACGGATGAATATGACAGAGCACAATCGCCTAATGTACTGACCATGTCATCATGGATGGCTATTGATGATAGCCCCTTCTTATGGAGGTACTTAATGACGGCACGCTGCTCGATATGCTCCATTCGCGGAAATTATGTCCGATTACTTTGTTAATAAATTTATAAAATCACAACTAATTATCGCACACGTTTCGAACTTCATACAATGAACTAGTCTGAACTGAACTAAATAATGTGGGTAGATTTGATTTTTAGAATTGAATGGATCTGTGTTAGGCCGAGTACTTTTCAATCCACCCTCGTAGATTTAAAAAAGCGAAAAAGAGCTAACTAGGCGACCGCTAACTACGTAATTGTTTCCCAACAATACCGAGCGCTTCCGGATGCTCCCGAACTACCCCGAAAACTTCAGAATAGCTCTCGAGCGTTTTTATTTGCTTTAAAGACACACCTTTGGTGAAAACCGAAAACCAAAGAGCGATGCCGGACTAATGGACTTCTACTGTATGTTATATTCAGTTAAATTAATATTTTCTACTCTATTCAAAATGATCCTCATTTTGCCAACAAATTTTTTTCCAATGACCTACCGCCTAAAAATATTAAAGCTCATGTATGTATGATACCATAAAAATTTGTTAACGAGAACATTTCAAATATCTATTCAGATTCTTTGTTTATTTTTTCCTTTACACTTTGATTTTTTAAAGACTTATCGATACCTAACAGATAAGTGCTTAAAGAAAGTGTTATAAAGTTATCCGAAAACATTTAAGGAATACAATCTAAATTATAAAACAAACTTTTATATTGATTTCTTTAGAATGCTCGAATATCCTTATTTGGTCCAGGTGGGTTCAGGCAACGGGACGGCTCTGCAGCTGTACGGACCTTCGATCCAGCCGCGGCACTGCGTGATCGCGGCTGCGGAGGGCGGCGGCTACAGCGTGACGCCGCTGCACGCCGACGCACACGTCTACGTCAACGGACGTCGGATAATGCACACGCAGCGCTTACAGGTATCTTTTCGTTATCGCTACCGTCTTACAGTTAAAGGTTTGTTTTTAGTTAATTACCATTCCTCGCCACTATGTGAAGGAAGAATAATGAGGGTTCAGAGGAGAAAAGATTTCACTGCGCCTATCCTTCTGGTTCAGAGGACATTGACATGTTATTAGTGATTTTATCAGAAATTCAAAATTTTCCCACGATGTTTTCCTGCACTTTCTGAGCTATAAAGCTTAAGGCCAGCTCCAATTTTTGCTCGAACTAAGAAAGTCCTAGTATTTTGTTATAATTAAGTATTTATTGATTATAATTAGATTTATACCTTATAGAAGATATTAGAGCTTGATGATTTTAATTTCACCTTTAAATATAATGTCCTGATTTCGAACATGTAATAAAAGCTTTGTTTCAGGCTACGAATTTCAATGTTTTTTTTAAATAACCGCACGAATGCAGACGAGAATAATCTAATAACTGTTTCTTTTTTAATTTACTCTTTACTAAATCGCGTAAACATAAGAAATCATTACCATTTATTTAAGACTTTATGCATATTTTACAAATGAACATTAATTATCAAAATATTATACTTATACATATTATATGTGTAAACGCGTATCTTTGAATAAATTTTGTACGTAAAGAAGTTTATAAATATTTTTAGAGAGCGAATGTTTGTAAATATATCATTCGCAGGCTAAACAGATAATTAAGTGAATTAGAATTGTGTTTTCTTTTTGGGTGTTTTCAAATTGGTATGAGCTTATAGGCCGGTAATCACATACAACAATAATAATTCGATAATCTATAGAGATGATAATCTCAAACTCAAAACTCTACAATATCAGCATTTCAGCCTAGACCATGGAAAATACCTGTAATATACGTCTAGAACATATTTGACCGGTATTCAGAAACAATCTTGAGTTTAAACTCAGACTTCAAAATACCGGCGCAAGTGCGTTTTAACTCGCAGCCTAATATTTTCGAGAAGCCTTACTAGGGATATTTGTGATGTTTTACGATAAATGAAGTGGGAACAATATAGCGGTTCTATTTTCCTAGCGCGTTATTACACTTCTTGATATTATCGTTAATGTTTGAAGAGTAAGGTTTTTTAAAATTTATGAGATAAATATAATTTACTTATTTTTTTATTTTTGGCTAAACCTAGTCCGAGTAGTTCGCTACCCTGAACTATGCCTGCCCCGCGCAGGCGTGACACAATGTTATTAGGACTTAACTCAGTAAATAAATATAATAGTGTGTGCTCTTAATTTGTTTATATGTTGTGTTTTATATTATTTATTACATTACACTGTCTGCACCTTTCATATATTGTTACGTTACGTGTTACGTCTTTATAGAGCACATTTACATGAAATACTCGGCAAAACATAAACACGCTTGTATACGGGATACCTCGTAAAGCGACTCTATTAAAATATTAACGCACTAAGCGAAGCGAACGACCTCAAAAGCTAATCTGTCCAAATCTTTCTCTCGAGACTTGAATATTTCTTTATTAAAATTCTAATACATATATTATTAATTACACTACTTTACAATATTTGCTATTTTGAGTAAGAATGTTATGGTTATTCTACAATTATTTATAACACTTCGTAATGATTTTTTTTAAATATATATATACAAGAGCATAAAAGAGTAAATAAGTAAGTGAAATAAGAGGGTAAAGCAAGAAAAAAAAATTGGTTGCAACTTTAATAAGCGACGTAAGTTCAGGGAGAGATAAAGGAATGATATATTTCTGTTTAAGGAGGTAAGAAGTGTGCTTTTACAAGTTTGTTAAATTTTTCAATTGATTGCGCACATTTAATGTAATGCACGGTAAGAAGTTTCGGAGCCGAACAGCTTCAATAGAAAAAGATTGAGAGTAAAAGGAAGTTTTATGAAACGGAATTTTTTAATGTGAGGTTTTTGTCAGAGCGAACAGAGCGACAGGGAGTGTCGCCGAGAAACTCAAATCGTTGTTTAAGGTAAGCAGGGGAAGTGGGATTGAATAGAACACATAATTAAAGAAAAATAATGTGATTACTATTCTCGCTTACCTGTGAAGCCCAAGATAAAAATTTGTCAAAAGTTATACCTTAAATTTTAACAGTGTCACTATATAGCACGGATGTCCCCTTAAATACAATGCCGGGTAAAGTAGAAAAATCTATAAGTATAACCAATTATTGACTGACAATTATTATTGCTTTAGTTTTTGAGTGATTTACTTTAAGACCATACATATGTCTTATTCCAATCCACAATCAAGTCAAGATCTTTGTTTAATAAGCCTATAGTTTTGGGTAAATCTTACTTGGAGATCATCTGCATACAGGTGGTAGCGAGAAGATAATTGGAGCGTAATCGAATTTATTTGAAAACAGAAGGGGAGGCAACACACCGATATAATAGTAACGCTCCCTCTTCCCTTGTCTCAGTACTTGAAGAAAATCTTTTACTGCGGCACCTTTTCGTTTATTCTTTGAATTCACCCATTCTTTGTGTAATGCTACACGTTCACTTTTAATATACTTGACATTTAGTGAACGACGACAGACGTTTTTAATTTATTGCTTGACAGTTTATGTAAATTTCCTATTCGTAAACGTCTGTAAGTCTAAAAGTTATAATAAAACTGTCGTCTAAAATTGGACAAAATTATCAAGAAATTACAGATAACAAATTTGCAGTATTGAGTTTTAGATTATTCAAGAAGCGGATTCGAAAGGAGGTGAAAACTATTAAAACATCCATACATACATTATATATAACTATTAAAATCTCGAAGTGAATTTAATAATACCATCAAGTGCCACGGAGGTTGTATGGGTTACCGATAATAAAATGTGTTAAAAATCAGTGACATCACACTCTGACCGTCAATGATGCGATTCTATCTATTTTATAATAACTATAATATTTATTATATTCTGTTGCGGGTCAACATAATGAACTTAGTGCTTATAACGTCTGAGGAATGATAATATATACCTATAAATAAGAATACACAGGCACAACACTAACCACTCACTGTTAATTTCACAGTAAAAAGTTATCCTCAATAGAATGTAATCTCATCTTAATGCTATCCTTCCTGTGCATCATTTGGATTTAGACAAAGGCATGGAACCATTGAGCAGGTTCAAAGGTTGACAGATACCATCGGCTACACGCTTGAAAATAAGAAATATTGCTCGGCTGTGTTTTTAGATATAAGTCACGCATTTGATAGAGTCTGGCACGATGTCCTGTTATTCAAGATCAAAAAACACCTGCCCCATACCTTCTACTTTGTTCTGAAAATCCACTTAAATAAAAGATGCTATGAAGTTAAACTGAACAACACCACGTCTGATCTGTTCGAAATCAGATCAGGAGTACCCAGGAGTTCCTCAGGGGAGCATATTAGGGCCTACACTGTATCTCATCATTACTGCCGACGTTCCCGTTGATAATAAAACCTTTATTGTCACATACGCTAATGATATTGCAATAATGTCAGTTAATGCCAACCCAACAATCGCATCGGCACATCTCCAAAAACATATTGATGAGATAGAAAAATAGCTGAAGATATGGAGAATAAAGGCAAATAATCAAAGCAAATCGGTTCATGTCACCTGCACTCTAAGAAAAGGCGACTGTCCACTAATCACACTGCCGCGAAATACCTAGCCATGCATCTGAATAGGCGGCTGACCTGGCAGAAACATATCTGGAGCAAAAGAAAAGCCCTGGACGCAAAATTAAGATATATTTACTGGCTGATTGCCAAAAAGTCTCAGCTAACAAACGAAAGCAAAATAGCAGTTTACAAAACTATTTTGAAGCCAGTATGGACATACGGAATGGAACTTTGGGAAACAGCAAGTAATAGAAACATAGAAATCCTGGAAAGGTTTCAGACTAAAGCTTTTAGACCTATGTTCAACATTTCAAAATGCATCCATAATAAATATATTCTGCACGACTTGAGGCACAACACTGTGAAACAAGAAATCGCTGCTCGAAGCTTAAACTGCCAACAAAAATTAACTTCACATATTAACGTTCTGGCTGCTAAAATAACGGGTTCTGGAAGTACCGTGTACACAAGACTGAGAGGGAATAGCGTTCCAAATCTCATAAAACGATTCACCAAAGAATAGTGGGAGTGGTCAATGGACAACTGCTCCAGCTCAAAGAATTAAATAATCAGACATAGCTCAGACAAAGTCTTCTCTGTAGAAGAGTTCTTAAACGACAACGACCTACATACGAGTAATAATGAATGATAATTTTAGAATAGGATTAATTACGTAATTACAAGATTCTGATATTTAAAAAAAATAATGTTTTTGATATTATTTTATATAAAATTTGACTTATGTATCTAATTAATTAATAAATTTGATGTAAAAATAGAAAGATATTGACAAGGAGTAACATTATATAATTATTGACGTAAGAATAATAATTATTATATATGACAATGACCTATAATAATAATCTTACTTGATATAATAATACTTACTTATATTTTTTCTGACACTGTGGAGTAATAAATTAATTATCAAATCAAGTAAATAATATTAAATAATTTTATATTTTGTTAAATTAATATATGTTGTTAAATTCGATAAGTATTGTTGTTTAGGTTACTTGACCATTAATATTTGCACACCACTAAGGTAGAATATGTAGAACGAATTATACTCAAACACCATTGTACAACCATATTCTTGCAAATAAAGATTATTATTATTATTATTATTATTAAAGAAACAGCTAAATGTCCACGACAGATTGCTATATAGACTGTAACTTCACTTTAACTTCATATATATGTACCTAGAGGTAACACTATCAACAATTTTGGTTATTGGTTTGTTTTGTATAAAACTAAAACTCCTGAAATATTGAACCTAACATTCTTACTCAATTTGTTAAAATAAGCATCAAAAATATATTTTTATTGGATACTCAATTTTAATTTAAAATGTGTCGCAAAATCAATTTAAATATATTTCTTTCAAGCAAAATTGTAAAAAGTGTATTCCGTTATTTAAATTTAATACCGATAAAACTCGCGTTTTAGTTTTATAATATATGCACATGAATATTCTTTGCTTTGCCAGCATGGTTGCCTCCTCAAGTTCGGCCGTGTCTCCACATTCCGTTTTGTGGACCCTGCACAGGAGACCCTCATGAACAGAAATCTCGCTCAATCACAGAATTACGGTTCCGGTTCCATATATGACAGGTCAGTGATTAATAAAATTGTTAAAATTTTAAAATTTTTAACGTCGTAGTTTTGCATTCACAAACTTTTGTAGACTTACCGTTTAATAGATGTCTTATTTCAAGTAGATATATATTTCATTTGTACATTGTCAACGAACATTGTTTTACCGAAAGCTCTTAACTTTTAATCACCTCTTATGTACTTTATTATGTTCGTTCATTGTTGTTTATTTTTTTCGTTGCATGTTTCTGTCACTGGCTCACCGACATGCGCTTGTTTTACCTTTACACCTTAGATCGCCGACGTCACCCGAGAATAGCGGTGCCATGTCGCCTACTTCACTCGCATCCCACCACGCCGATCTCGACTCCAACTCGAACGCAAATATCACAAACGACACGGAATATCCAGGGACCGTGAGTCCCGTGTCGCACGACACGTACGGGTACAGGGACGTCAACGACACTCTCTCACCATACAACAACAACACGCTAAAACTTGCAACGAGTCTCTCATGATGTCGCAACACCTTAGCGATTCTAAAGATGACTACATGAGGGACGAGCCGTCGGGGTCGGCCTACAACGATCAGGACCAGAGCACGGGTGCAAGTCGAACAGGCTCACAGTACAAGGATAATTACGAAACAACATTCGATTTGGATGGAAACGTCGAGACGAAAAGCATATGCAGCGCGAAAAGCGGTGGTTCGGGACACGATAATAGGTATGATTTTGCTTGCATTCATTTTAGCATTTTGAACTGTCTGTAGACGTATATTGCATTATGCCTATGTAATGTGTTCATACTAAAATAAAACATTCTTACATTTAAATGTGTCTAAGGTAAGGTTTTACAGGTAGAGTATTTCTTGTGCGATAAAATAAGTAAAGGTTATCGAGACTACTCATGACAAAATTCTAGTCAATTGTATATCTACTTGTAAGGTTTTTTCTTATTTTAAAGAAATGTTGCTCCCAAATTAACGATTTTTATCCACAGTAATCTGGCTATTTACAAATATATTATGGATTTACTGCGTGTGAATTTATAAATACATACTTCAATTCAATGAGAAAGTAGCAGGTGTAGCCATGCCTGGACGGCTGGTGCGGTCGGTCGATTGCTTTAACCTTAATTATTATATATATTGAAACGAAGTCATTTAATTACTATCTTTTTATGTAATATTATAAGTGTCATCAGAAAAGCCTATATATTGAATATGTTTCGAGAAATCACGGAGGAGACAGACGATGTTGGAGAAATTTGAGTTCTATATTTGTTTATTTGTATATTACTTCATTTAGTTGTACTGGTTTCGTAAGAAACGATTAAATGTGAAAGGTATCTATAACGATCCTTTATCAGGCGATGGCAAGCTATCTGATAATAATTAATGGAACCTACAAAGAATCTGTGGCAAATGAATGTAAAAACTTCTATAGAAAATGTTTTACCACGTATGGTACTTTCCAGATCTAAAATACTGAGATTTAGCGATGAGGAGCAGCGCCTAAGGTGCAAAATCGCCAAACCGCTTGCTAATCGTGGCGATAACGGTAACCCTCCTACTTTTAGAAGAGGTCCACGCCCGACAGAGCACTGTTTATGGTCTAATAAAAATTACAATGACAAATATTATGTTTGCTCCATTTTTATTTGTATCTTTTTCTGAGAAAGTTATGGCGCAATAAATCCGCCGCGCTATTCCAGTGCATGTTTGTGGACTTCATATGACCGCGAAAATGTTATGCCTCAAACATGTTACCTTTCTCACCTCTGGATATTTTTATTCATCGCCGAGCACGTCATTAATCAGCACTCCTATCCTTTGCCCCAGAGTATTTGAAATGTAAGTTGAAGTTAATACTTGGGTTTTCCCCATGACTGTGTAAGTTTATCTGTATTATGTTTTCATCCTACCTGCAGTACACAATTCTCTCTCTAACTTTCTGGTTGGACGGTAAAAAATTCCATATTATGACATTTAGTACCCAGTTTGTAGCTTTAGTAAAAACACCATAAAATAATGTTGATAAAATATATAAATAAATCAATGTGAAAGCCGCCGGCCAATGTTGTTGAAATGAAGTTTCGGATTGTGTCAGGGTGGTAGCGAGCGCGCGGGGCGCGGTGGGTGCGGGGGCGCGGGGCCAGGCGCGGAGGCGATCCTGCCGGCCGTGCTGGAGTTCCCGGAGGCGGGGCAGGCGCAGTTCCTGGCCGCCGTCATCACGCGCCTCGACCCGCACGCGCCCGCCTTCAAGCTCGCGCCCGTCTACACGCTCTACCTGTGCGCACGGTACGTACCGCACACGCTCTTCAAATAATTCACACAAAGCACACGCTAGCTTTCAATTATTTAAATAAGGCACGTTGATACTTAAGTCAATTTTAACAGAGTTTTCGATGTCGAAATAAAAATAAAGATTGTGTCATAATACTAGCAAATGAATTCATAATTTATTCTGAAAAATAAATATTATTCGATAGTTAAATAAAAATAAGTAATTTAATTCTTAACGGAAATCCGATACATTTTGAAACCAATTATTAATATTATATTAACATAATTTATTAATGACGGTATCAACTATCAAAATCATTATTTAAAAAAATATTGAAGACGATAGATGAGGCGGTCGTGTTCTCGCTGACTTTATTCTAGATATCTATTTATTTTTTTTTTTTTTTTTTTTATATATATATATATATATATATTATATCTATTTTAGCACTCACACTCGAAAGGTCAAATTACGTGCCTAAAACAATGCGAATTATTTTTATTCTGCAATGTTATTCAAATAACACTCCCAAGATAGAAAGATACAGTGTATTTTATTTGCCGATATTTTAGTAAAAATACAGGTTCACAAACAAAATAACATAAAACTCAGCATGGTGTTAATATATTTTATTTTTACACGTTATGGGTTTTTTTTGATGATGCTAATGTTTGAACATTTACAATTATATTACTTACGAGTAAACTATTGTAAGATATGTTCAAACATTAACATCATCTACTAAAATTCATTTATATATCACCCATAACGTGTAAAAAAATATATTAACATGCTGTGTTTTATGTTATTTTGTTTATGAACCTGTATTTTTACTTAAATATCGGCAAATAAAATACACTGGATCTTTCCATTTTGGGAGTGTTATTTGAATAACCTTGCAGATGTTTTAATATAACCTGACTGCGCATTTAGGCACGCTACATTAGACCTTTCGAGTGTGAGTGCTAAAAAATAGATATCTAGAATAATGTCAGTGAGAACACGACCGCCTACTCTATCGTCTACAATATTTCTTTTAAATAATGATTTTGATAGTTGATACCGTCATTAATAAATTATGTTAATATAATATTAATAATTGGCTTTAAATTATATCGGATTTCCGTTAAGAATTAAATTACTTCTTTTTATTTAACTATCGAATAATATTTATTTTTCAGAATAAACTCGCAGATGTTATATCCGGAATTCAGCGCAGCTGTGTTGAATCAGTCTGTCCTCTCCGTCGAAGTCGAACTTACCTAGTAGAACTATTTGTCCTAGGTAAACGTACTCGTCGACAACGCCGAGCGCAGTGTTCACAACAACTACATGATATTAAGTACACGTTACAACATATAACCTTTGTTTTGTCCATGTTCATCTTAAGACCTGTATGTTGGGAGACACTATTGAGATCATTGAGCATAGTGTTTAGGTACTCCAGCGATTCTGCCATAAGAACTATATCGTCGGCAAATCGAAGGTGAGTGATGTACTCGCCATTGATGTTAATACCGTACATCATCGATTTAGCTCAACGGATTAGTAATGTGAAATGGCAATCGGCCGGCCATATAGCTCGAAGAACCACAACCGTTGGGTAAGAAATATTCTCGAGTCTCGTACCAGTAGACGAAGTGTAGAGTGGCCCCCCACTAGAAGGTGAACATGGCTCATGACCGTGCATTGTGACATTCCTTTTATGATGATGATGATGAATACACAGTTATTTATTATGTACTGTGGTTGCCAAGCCGCCTGCCAAGCGTGGCAACTATGGCGAATAATCACCTATTATGTGTAATCCTATATTCAGCCTGTATTAATTGTTACGTTACTTATATGCGTAAAATTTCAGGTATCGTGCGTCTACGCACTACCGGCCAGAGTTAACTCCGACGGAGCGGGCACACAAGCTCACGGCATTTCTTCACCACGTCGCTACGCTCATACATGCTACAGTACAGGTATGTTTACAGGTTACAGCCTACTCTGTGCTTTTTGTGTCAGTATCTTGAATTTCTTTAAGAAATAATTGTATCATAATAAAGTTTTATGCTTGTACTGTTAGAACTTCTTTAAAACTAGCATTTAGTACTTTTTTTTATATAAAAAATTACATTTTTTTATTTGAATATATGAAGATAAACATTTGTATAACATTTTTTATTTGAATATAAATAGATGAAAATTCGTATAACAAGCATTTATCATTTTAATAACATATAAGATTGGATTTTGTATTTTTTTACAGGAAAGATGTACAGATTCCGCAGCACAAGCGTTCTGGATGGCTAACGCCAGCGAGTTGCTTCACTTTCTAAAATGCGACAGGCATATATCTTCTTTCTCGACGCAAGCCCAAGAATTGTTGCCTCAGACCGTCCAAAATGCATTCAGGTAAAATAACTTTTACCCTATTATTTCATAGTATGATTTTAGAAGAAAGCAAAGATTGTCAACATCGAAAAATTGTGACGGTAAAAGAATTACATGTAGAGCTAAAATGTTAGTTAATAGTTAAATGTGACAATACCAAAAACCTTATAAAACAGATATTGTTCGAGTTCCGATTCTTCGAGGCTTTCCTAATAAGTCATGCATAAATATTTCTTTAAAGCTATTAGCCGTTCTGTAAAACGTAACAATAACTATTACCTTCGTATTATTATTATTTTACTTGTTTCGTCTTTTTTTTTGTTAGTTGTATAATAAAAAATATAGTATTCTCTAAATATTTATTCTGTATTCGATAATACCAATTTTCTATTTTTGAATGGTTTTACTTTAATGTGGAAATTACGTGTTGAAATAAATGTGATATAAATAGAAAAATAAACTTTTTTATTCAATATATATTAAAAAAAACTATTTTTATAATTTCACTGATAAATCTGCATATTGTTCTGATGGGAGTTACCGAAGGAACTCAACTAAATGTTTATAAAGCATTTATGATATAGCTCTATTTTTAATAGGGAGTATTTCATGAGTAACTTTAGTCTACTGCGGTATTCTAGGTTACTTACAATACGTACGGATTTTAATTATTCAAGTTTTTAGGAATAAACACTCAGAGAGTTGAGAATTTATATAATAATAAGTAACAATTACATTGAGGGTATGGAATGTTTGGGCAGCAACCTGGTGACGTGCTTCCAAGAGGAGCTGGGGCGCGCGCTGGTGACGCTGAACAGCGCGGGCGTGGCGGACGCCACGGAGGCCACGGCGCCCACGCTGCAGGCGCTGGCCGCGGCCATGGTGCTGCTGCGCCGCTGCCGCGTCAACGCCGCGCTCACCATACAGCTCTTCTCGCACCTCTTCCACTACATCAACGCCTACTGCTTCAACAAGGTTCAACTTACATTCTGCTGACGATTTGAGAGTTAGATTTACATTTATGAGATAATAATAATATATTTAGCCCAAGCGACTTCTTTTTGTTTCCTTATCCAAAAGTTGCGCTCGGAGGATAGAGATTTTTTTCAAATGAGAAGGCAATCACCATTAACAATTAATTTGCAGAGAAAAACGCCGTGAACTATTTGGACGGGAAAGAGAGATAGGGGCATCGCTAGGAGAAGTGCGTAGAGTTACAATCAGACTATTTAGGAAAATAAAAACGAATGTTAAGAAATCTCTTGTATCTTTGTTAGATCGGAAACTTTTCAGACTACCCACGTAACGGAAGGTGGTCCAGTCAAAAGTTCTAGAAGCAATACATGTTTCATATAAAACTTTTATAAGTTACTTCGCTGAAGTGTTGAATAATATACGTGGTGTGTGCGGCAGCTGGTGATGGAGCCGGGCACGGTGAGCGCGCAGTGGGGCGCGGCGCTGGCGGCGCGGCTGGCGCTGCTGGCCGCCTGGGCCGAGCGCCAGGGCCTCGAGCTCGCCGCAGATTGCCACCTCGCGCGCACGCACCAGGCTGGTGAGCGAGACAGGCCGGTACGTCGTGCACGCATGCACAAACACGCACGCACACGCTGCATGCGCACACGCACGTACACACACACGCGCTGCTGGCGCTGCTGGCCACCTGGGCCGAGTGCCAGGGCCTCGAGCTAGTCACAGACTACCACTTCGTGCGCACGCACCAGGCTGGTACGTCGCGCACACATACGCAAACACACACGCTTGGCTGGCGCTATTGGCTGCTTGGGCCGAGCGCTAGGACCTTGAGCTCGCCGCAGACTGCCACCTATCGCGTACGCACCAGGCTGGTACGTCGCGCACGCAGCCACGCACACACACGCAGACAGACATGCACGTACAACACATGCGTGATTGGTGCTGCTGGCCGCCTGTGCCGAGCGCCAGGGCCTCGAGCTCGTCGCAGACTGTCACCTCGCGTGCATGCACCAGACCGGTACACACGCAGACACACGCACGTACACACGCGCGCGCGTCTGGCGCCGCTGGCTGCCTGTGCCGAGCACACGTGCACACATTGCACGCACACGTGTACTATTGCACATATATGCGTACGCAAGTACGCACACATGCACGTGCGGTCATCTACCCGCACGCACGTATACGCACAATGCGCAGGCACACACACACACACACACACAACACAAAGGGTAGCACGCACGCATGCTCACGTACACACATTCGCACGCACACATGTACAACTGCACATACACGCTAACGCAAGTACGCGTACATGCACGTACGCTCACCTGCACATATGCTCACATACCCGCACGCACGTATACGCACAACGACCGGGCACACACACACACACACAAACACGTTGCGCGCGCGCGCACAATTACGTACGCACACGTATACTACCGCACATATAACCGAGTACGCAAGTACGTACTTATACACGTGCGCTCACTTACCCGCATGCCTGCGCACACGGAAGCAAATACTCGCACACACATGCACGAAGGCACGTGCAAGCGCACGCATGTTCGCGCACACATACAGAACATGCGCGCCCGCACACACGCAAATACTCGTACACATTTGCATGAACACACGCACCTACATACGCGCGCGCTCGTATGCACTTCTGCACATTCAAGGGCACTCACGTTCGCGCACAAGTACACACACACACACACACACACACACACACACACACACACACATACGTGCGCGAGTGCACGTACGCATACACACACGAAGGCACGCAAATTAGTACGTACGCACGCACACACGTACACTCACGTGCATCACAATCATTTTATTCTTTTAAATATCGTTACACACGCACTAAGATTTTCTCCTGTATCGTGGGATACTTTACGTACACAAATTTGGCAGGGTCAAACGTGCACATCTGCTCACCAATTACATGTAGGCGCTCAGTGCTGCAAATACGCCACGGAACCGTCAAATCAATGTTATATTACAATATAATACAGATATATATACATAACATAAACTACAGATAGTTCAATCCTTAAACATACATATGTTGTGATGTTTGCATAACCTTCTAAGTTAGTCATGGATTCGACCCCACACAGAGTGATACAAGTACGTGCATAAATGCTATTGCTGACTTTGCACCCTGTGTGTGGCCTATATCGCGTCACTTGAGTAAGCAAATGTAATAACGTCTGCATGAAAGATGTATTAGAATAAGTTTGCCATTGTTGAAGTACATGAGCTTCTGTACGGACATCTCTTAGTTTTATTTTAGTTTTTAAAAACGCCTCCACCGCTCCCGTTATCTTGACTAGTTACCCTTGCGCAATTACTATTGTTTTGTAAATTGCTTTTGTATTGGTTCTTCCGTACACTGTCAATATGCACACAATATGTATATGACGGCATGACGGCAGTGCCGTTGTACGTCGGTACAGCAAAATTGTAAAGAACACGTGCACCGATCGCGCCGCCCGGCGCGTATTTCAGTTTCCCCCACCGCCCCACTACTCGGCTTGTTTTGCAACAACGGGTATAAAACGACCGGCGCAGCGGCGTTAGGGTCCCCGGTAGGACAGTGAGCCCCTCATAACCACGATAGACCGGCTATCGTGGTATGCGTAATGCATTTTCCGCCTCCCTACGTATAGGGTAGCCCTTTAATTGCTTCGGGCGCAAAAAAAAAAAAAAAAAAAAAAAACGGAGCAGGCACTGCGCCCTCTTTTCCCTAGAGGGTATCACTTAGGGTCCCCGGTAGGACAGTGAGTCCCTCATAACCACGATAGACCGGCTATCGTGGTATGCGTAATGCATTTTCCGCCTCCCTACGTATAGGGTAGCCCTTTAATTGCTTCGGGCGCAAAAAAAAAAGCGGAGCAGGCAGTCATGGCTCTGGCGTGATACGGTGCACTTGTTGTATCCCACTATTAGCTTATCCTAGACTATTTGGATAATTAATTCTTGGAAACGAATTAATTATTATTATCAGCTATTAAATTAGTCTCAGTACAATTTATAGTTGAATACCTGCGATCCCTGTATTTTGTGATTGTAAATTAATTCTATTTAACTACCTTCCTAGATATACACAAACTTAATGCGAATTAATCGTGATAAATGTTGTATTTTGATATCATTAAAAATCACACTAAATACAAAATAGTGGGTCGGATTTTCTTCATATTTATGATTAGAAATGCGATATTTTAGTTATGCCTGAATCCTTCCGGCTAAAACTCCCTAAATGACACTAAAGTTACACATCCAGCTTAATACTAGAAACTAACAAAGTAATATAATTATTATTATTACTATAGTTGTTTTACGCTAATGAGTCAATTTAAATTCACTGCTGGCCGTATGAGGACGCTTAAGGTCGCTCAGCGAGCTATGGAGAGGGCTATGCTCGGAGTTTCTCTGCGTGATAGACTCAGAAATGAGGATATCCGCAGTAAAACCAGAGTGACCGACATAGCCCAACGGATTAGTAAGCTGAAGTGGCAATGGGCCGGCCATATAGCTCGAAGAACCGATAACCGATGGGGAAGAAAGGTTCTCGAGTGGCAGCCTCGTACCGGTAGGCGTAGTGTAGGGCGACCCCCCACTAGATGGAGTGACGACCTGGTAAGACATGCAGGAAGTCGATGGATGCAGGTGGCTCAGGACCGTGCTTTGTGGCATTACTTGGGGGAGGCCTATGTTCAGCAGTGGACTTGTGAAGGGCTGTAATGATGATGATGAATGAGTCAATTATTGGCAGAACCAGCAAGAGTTAGTTGTAGTCTTATTAACTGCCTTTGATTTTAAATTTAAAATAAGTATACTATGTTTCTATTAGTTGTATTAACAGTTTTGCCCATTCTGATTTATGTGATAATATCAATAAATTTCATTTCCCAACACAAATTTGTTGGTAACCTGATAATTGTTACCTTTATATCTTACAGCACGTCTTATCCAAGGCGAATACCGCACTCCTGACGAAGTGAGGGCGGCATTATCAGCGTGTGTGAAGCTCAACTCAGTGCAAGTGCGTGCGTTGCTGACGCCCATCGCACCACCCGATATTGTAGAAGCTGCCGTCGCACATGCAAGGGCTTTGGCTGACGAATTATACAGGGCTGACGGAAGAGAGGTGTGTTGACGTTGTTTTGTTTTCTTTCATTGCTGGCGATCCGCCGCGGCTTCATCTGGGTTTGTGTATTTTATTTTTATTTATTTATTTATTAGAGATAACAGCCTCCATTCTGTAAAAAATTAAATTTTTTCTGGCCAATTGTCATCCACTTTCCACAATTTAGCACAAATCAGAAGTATGAAAAGTTGGAAAGAAAAAAAATAACAAACCCTTTGATCAAAAACAATACTTAATTT